ATATTCAGTTATTATAAAGCTATTTCTCATGATGATCACTTTTTTGCCTGAAAGGTCAATGTATATCCATATCCAGACTTAAAAGCTAATACCAGAGTACAACAGATTTCAGCATAAAATCTGTTGGCAAAGTTCTAAGAAATAATTTTTTTATAAAGTAAATAATCTTTTTTTTCTTTTTTCCTGTATTACAGATTGGACGCACGTTTATATATATAAACAACTAAACAAGAAGCGTCTAATCAAGATATTTTGAATTTTTTGAGACAAGAAAAATAAAAGCTAGAGTTGCGTTTGGATTTGGTGAAATTTCAATATGATCAACTGAAAAATAAGAAAAAAAAAACTCAGATTTATTGCATTCTCCTCCCCATTGCATGTTAATAACATCAAGATAGAACGCACGAAATGACTCGTGGTCAACGTAAATAATGCCTAGAAGTTCTTGATCAAAACTTGACATTTCCAAGTTTCAACTTTTCAACACACACTACTCTCTCTATATATACCACCAAGCAAAGAGGTTATTAAGCATTATCAGCCCATTACAAAAATATCACGTACTATCAAACCAAACCAAAAGCCTTTACATTCTTACGTGCTATCTAGCCAAACCAAAATAGAATGGGAGAGAGCAACAATCAAACAATGCATTTTGTTTTAATCCATGGTTCAGCTTCAGGAGCTTGGGCATGGTACAAGGTGCAGACACTGCTAGAGGAAGCTGGGCACTCTGTAACAGCTCTTGACATGAGTGCTTCAGGGGTGAACACAAAAAAACTTGAAGAAGTCGTTACTTTTGATCAGTATAACGAGCCCTTGATTGAGTTCATGGCGAACTTACCTGGAAATGAAAAGGTTGTATTGGTGGGGCATAGTTTAGGTGGCTTCAATCTGTCTTTTGCTATGGAGAAGTTCCCAGAGAAAATTTCTCTTGCTATTTTTGTTACAGCATTCTTGCCTGATATGGTGCACCCGCCATCGTATATGCTAGAGAAGGTACACTTGTTTGTTCAATCTGTCTTTTTAAAAACTCTTTTATTGATTGCCTGTAATTAAGATGATATATCCGGTTTAGTGCTACTATTTGATTAAATTGACTATTTTTAAACCAGCGGATATTTTATAATTAAAAGAATCATTTTAAGTTGCAAGTACTTAAGCCTAGCAAAAACGTATACCACTTGAGAAGAGATATGCACATGCATACATGCGAATGTTTTTTTCTTTTTTTCGTTTTTTCGAGCATTACCAACCATCTCTAATATCAAACCGGTATATGTTTTGGCCTTTCTGTTAGTTGATGGAAATCAGTCCGGCCGTTTCAGACGGGTGGCAAGGTGTAGTGTCCTCGACCGGCGGATACGAGGCATTCATGAAGGCCACGGCCTTTAGCCTTGCCTCCAGTGAGGTACAGTACACAAATCCGATTACAAATTAATTTTCAATCCTGAAATGATCCATTTTATAGTAATAACCAGTATAGTTGTGATGATTTTCTTGTTTGCAGGATCTCACTCTCCAAGCGCTTTTAAGGAGACCGGGATCATTGTTTCTGGAAAGTCTCTCCAAGGCAAATAAGTTCACCAGTGAGAGATTTGGATCGGTTCTGCGAGATTATGTTGTTTGTACTGAAGATTTATTGGTGATTCCACCATTTCAGCGCTTCATGATTGAACACAATGAGGTTAAGGAAGTGATGGAGATTCCAGCGGATCACATGGCAATTGTTTCTAGGCCTAAAGAACTGACCCAATGTATACTGGAGCTGGCACGTAAACATGCCTAGATTATTTTTAACCTGCGTGCGAATTATAAATGTAATAGCATGCAACATATATATCTAGTTATAGGCTGCATATATATAATTGGGTGGCTGTTATAGTAAAATAAAATAGAGATAGATGCTGGTGTGAGTTTTAGATTTGTTCTTAGGAGTCAAGAATTGTCAGAGCACTGTATCTTCATTATTTTAATTTGTATTTAGTGCATTCTTTTCCAATTATAAATTTTAAATAAGATCAATTTCTAGTCCTGCTTAACTTGTTATAATACTCTACCCGCAAACAATTGTCAAGCATTTCCAAGTTCCTAGGCAGAAGCCACCACAGGACACAACGATGAAATCCTCCATTAAGCCTACCTAGGCCGAATCATCCTCCATCGATCCTATCCTCCATAATATTCAACCAAAACACTACATTTAAAAAAAAAAAAAAAAAAACCAAGCATTTGTCAATGACTATCACATGTCATGACATTCGCCAATGAAAATCACATGTCATGCCCCGGTACTTTCATCAACAAAAATCTTGTGCCACGGCTTGGCACATTTTGTCAATGAAAACCTCGTTCTATCACTTGATGCTTTTGTCAACGAAATTCGCATGTCATGGCTTGGCCTTTTCTTCAACAAAAATATCATGTCATGGTTTCGTACTTTCGTCAACGAAAATTTCATGTTATGGCCTAGCACTATTCGTCAACGAAAATCTCGTGCCCCGACTAGGCACTCGTTCGATGAAAATATACAACAATCACTCAATCAATTTTCTTTAAAACAATCCAGAATTCCAATAATAAGTCCAACAACCACGACCCAATCCAAGGCTATTAAGTTTCCTCAAATCATTCAATTAACTAGTCACATAGCCTAAAACTAGCAATTTCCAAGTTTTTACATAGACACTACATTATCTATGCTAAATCTACAATTAGACATATGCCTATCAACATTACAATAGCCATTCATCAATTAATTACTTACCCATCAACTTCATAATGTAAAGTCATCATTTAACAACTAACCCAAACCTTAGAAGTTCTAAATTTACACAAACACATCATTAAACAGATTCAAGCATCAATTGCATATAATGTAATCAAATGCCCAATTAGAAACCCTAGGTTTCACAAGTACAAAAATCTCTAAATCAACACATAATTACTCTAAATCTTGTGTTGAATTGAAGCTATACTAACCTTAGGTCCGATTGTGGATGAAATCACCTTAAACCCCCCCCTCCCAAAGATCACACATCTCTTCCTAGCCAAAAAAACCGACCAAAACAGCCCCATCTCCCTCTTGAATATTGTACCCCTCTTTTTGGCCAAGCCTCGCTTCCCTTGAACAATTTCAGTTTCTTCCCTTTGTAAATTTCAATTCTCTCTGGCAGCTTTCTCGTGATTTTGTCTCCCTTTGCTCTTTTTCTCTCTTAGTATTCAACTTGTTTATCAAAGATGGGTGGTGGAAGAATGAAAGCTCAAGTGAAATTTTTCCCCTCTTATTTCCCTTTCTTTGCTGATTTTTTTTAGTCCAAATTATCTTTGATGAACTACATGTCCTAAGGTCGTTATTTTACACTTAGAAATTTTGATTTAGGTGAAACACTTTATTTGGATATTATTTTCTTGATTAATACATCTTTAGATTACTCATTTCCTTTGAATTCTAAGTTATACATGTATGAAAATTATTTAATTAAACTATATTTACTAGTCTTTAACTTGTCAATTGTCACACATAACATAAGCATGACATGAACATAATTAACAAAACAAATATTCACACGTAACATAGAAATTAAATATGAGTATTATAGCAATCTCCGAGTGTCTCACCCTTAGGAAGAGTCTACCACCTAAGAAGATTCAGAGAGTACCTACGGGATACGTTCACCAAAAGTCCACTTGACGTAATTATTTATCCGAGCGCGCCTTAATCGATCACTCTAAGGATGTTTTTTCACAAAGTCCTAGCCAATCTAAGCAAGGGAGATACACAAAAAAGTTGCATACTAAGTGGCGACTCAAAATTCAATAATAACTCGTATTCTCATAATAAACCAAAAATGTGTTAAATCTTAGATCTTTTTTGGGAGTTCTATCCAATATCAAGTAGCGATAACTTCAATGCTTCCTAAGATTCGATGTTTAATTCTAATAAAAAAAAATTTCAACCTATGGTATAATTTAAACTATTTCATTTCTATTCATAAATAGAAACCTAAATTAAAATGAATATAATCATCCTTATATTAAAACTAATGTGAGCAAAACCAAGCTTAATCCATTAATATCCTCCATTCATCTATAAACATCCATTTACTTCAAATCTCCGTTTGATCGAGCTTTAATTTAGTGGGCACATTTAAGATTGAGAGATGCACATTCTGAATGGTGGAGATCATGGTTTAGGTCATAGAGTGTGAGATATGATGCTCGTAACAATACTATTTTTTTGTAAAATTTGAACCTAGTTTATTCTCTTTTCTTTGTTTATTATCTATAAATAAGGTTTGCCAAAGGTGTGTATCATTTGATGGTTGTAGCTAATGTATTCCTCTAGTTTAATCTAGAAAAAACTCCTTTTATTGCCTATTATTGTTAATAGTGAAAGTATTTATGGAATTCGATCCTATGATTTTTCCTTCTTAAATTGAGAAGAATTTCTATATAAAATTCATGTTTTCTTTTTATAATTGGTATTCTTTTTTTCAAATTATTAGTTACTTGTTCTTTCTAAAATATGTGTTTATACCTCTTATTTGATTGTTCAAGTAAGGGTAAAGAAGTTCAACTACGTTAGTTGTATTTCTTTGCGTAACAAATCTCTATCAAGTCATAAACTTCAAAATGCATGTTTATTGGAAAGCAGTAGAAAGTACGGTAATGTGGGATTCCTCATGATGCATGATTTTATTTGTAAAATGTCATTAAGCTCTCAATAACAGCATGAGTAATGCTCAAATCCGTTAAATAATGATGGCTGCATATTTGGAACTATGATTGAGTGCATTTATATTTGCACCTAGGTATTAAAAACACAACCAAATTTAATGGAACTTGACACTACTTGAAAGTAAACGTACAACTTATAGAAACCATATGGCTCCAGAAAGTTTACCAAAATTTATACTAATTAATCCACAAGCTACTTTCACTACATTAGATGGCACAGCCCCTTGACCAGGTCAACACATCCAAACTTGTCTCCAATCTTATACAGGAGTAGGTGTTTCTTTTTCCTCGCCCGTGCCTCGATCCTCATCAACTCCTCCAGCATATCCATTCTGTAACATTTTATGCTCTGAAGGTAAATTATTCCTAGCTTTCTTGCTACCTTCAATTTTCCAAAGATCCCACACCCGAGTTTTTGGTGGAGGTGAAGCATCAGTAACCGGTGCAACTAGTCCTGGCTTACCATCGTCAATAACTTCATCGACCAACCCATACTCTTTAGCTTCCCAAGCATTCATGAAATTGTCACGATCAGTGTCAACTTCAACCTGTAAACAACAAAAATGAGGGGGAAAAAAAAGTAAAGGGAAAATTGAATTGAATTACAGAAACATTGGATGGTGAGAGATGAAAGAAGTTAATATCATTTAATGCCTAACCTGCTCTAAAGGCTTCCCTGTTATTCTTGATAATATCTTGTTCAGCTTAATCTTGTGGTAACTCATTTCTCTAATCCGGATGCTCATTTCTGATGCCTGAAATCACATGCAACTGCTCAGAAACACGTATCAAGCAGTTTTGAAAACCACCATCACGCACATACACAGACACACACAAAGGGGGGACAAGGAAAAGCTTAGGTTTCACCTTGTGCTATACTTTTGCATTCTCAGAAGCCAGTGCAATCATCAAATTCATATTTACAAAGAAAATCTCAATAGCAGAAACCTGCTTAAAATGCACCATAAGTTAAGTTCTTTGAATTGGTATATAATCAGTAGAACATGCAACCCCAGCTTGAATATTTAACAGAACAACCCCCAACGCAAACCAAGAATTTTTACTTTATTATTATTTTGAATTAATGAATTCAGCAGTTTTTTTTTTTTTTTTTTTTTTTTTTTTGGCACTAAATAATCTAGAAACATATTTATTGATAGCATAAGATCAGCTACCACCAATGCACACTAAAGAGCAGGCTGCAATTTGAAAATTTTTTTGAAAAATAAAAATATAAATAATATATAAAAATCATCAAAGGAGCATCACCTGTTATTGATCTATTCAAAACTAATAGCTCTCAGCAGCTTCAACCAAAGTTATGATCTCAACATCCTCCTATTTTTCCTTTCCAGGAACAAGAAAGAGAGAATAAATTCAACCTCCACTAGTCTTAATCTAATAACATACCCACCACCCCAAGTATACATCTTTTAGGGAAAAAGTATCACACAACCAAACTACAGAATGAGCACAAGGAAGAAAGTGCAGAACCCAAAAAAAATCTAGGAAAAGGTGATCCACTGACTCTGTCACCTTGTTAGACAATTCAATACTCTTTTATAGAGCAGCTTTGCTTTTAAAGTTCTACTAACCAGATGGTCTAATGCTAAACAAATTTAATTGAAGTGCTAAATATGAGAATCCCTTTCTTCTACAAGTCACCTAAACAAATTTAATTTAAGTACTGAATATGAGAATCACTTTCTTATACAAGTCACCTCTTAGAGAATCTCCAGTTACACATCAAAAAGTTGTTGGATTGGAAGGTGAGCATTTGTATCATTATCCCTTCTTGAATTTCAAGTTAGAAATTGCATCTCGTCCACAGATTTCAGTCATTCAAGGTTCCTTATGCAAGGATTTTTCAAGATATATGTACACAAAAATAGGAAGATTATGAAAATATCAATAAGATGCGACTAAAGACACGCTTGGCCTTCATCAGTTTCGAGTAGCTGATGAATCATCACTCTCCCATGGTTTAACAGGCTAAAGACGAACTTTATGGAACAGCTTTGCATGTAAAGTTCTAATAACCAGATGGCTAATGCTAAACAGATTTAATTTAAGTGCTAAATATGAGAATCACTTTCTTCAACAAGTCCCCTCTTAGAGAATCTCCAATTACAAATCAAAAAGTTGTTGGATTCGAAGGTGAGCATTTGTATCATTATTCCTTTTGAATTTCAAGTTGAAAATGACATCTGGTCCACAGATTTCAGTCATTCAACGTTCCTAGTGCAAAGATTCTTCAAAATATATACACACAAACATAGGCAGATTATGAAAACATAAATAAGAAGAGACTAAAGACGTACTTTCCCTCCAGCAGTTCCAAGCGGCTGATGAATCATCACTCTCCCATTGGGCATGCAAAACCTCTTGCCTTTGGAACCAGCAGCAAGAAGAAATGCTCCCATTGATGCAGCAAGCCCAAGGCAAACAGTTGAAACATCAGCCTTGCACATTTTCATCACATCATATATTCCCAGTCCTTAATGAAGCAATAAATGAAGGGAAAGATAAAAGGAGTAAGAATATAACCAGGAGCTTTTTAGACCCAAATAAAATGCATACTCTAATACCGTAAAGATTCACACAGTTTAACTATACCTGACCATTTAAGGAAGGTCATCAAATTCTTTTAGTTTAGGTCAAAGAACATATTATTTTATTAAGAGACAGAAAAGGAGCCATGACAACGGAAGACTACCTCATCCTCCTGGAAAAAGAAATATGAAAAGAAAAATGTAACAATAAGGCCCTCAAAACCCATTGAACATCAACTAGCAAAACTGAAAAAATCACATAGAGGATTTGCTTCAGAGAAAAGCCAAATCTCATGCAATTGCATAACAAAGATTGATCCTTAAAGATTGTTAAATATTGGGAACTTTCATAAGGAGAGCTCCAACCAGATCTCCCATGTAATAGCAAATATTGGGAATTTTCATAAGGATCCACAACCATTCATCCTGCCAAAACACATGAAGTGTACACATAATATTTTGTCCACTATATCCAGGACATGATGCAAGATTCACCACTAATAACAAAGAGTCTCTCCACATATCCCAAATCATAGAATTAGAATGCATAGTTACAGAATTAGTCACAAATTGTTCAACATAACCCTCAGCTACCAGGAATTGGGTATGTTCAATTGGTTGCATGAAACATCAGACTCCATGAACAATGCTGATTTCAAGTACTAAAAAATGTCACAGAAATTGTATGGAAAACATCTATTTCCAAGATTAATTCTATTCTTTAACTATTCTGATCCAGTCCAGTCTAAAATCAGTAACAGACACGATGCCCATCTAAACCAGCTCAAATTATTTTAGCCAATCCTAAGCCCTTTACAGCAGCAAATTTGTGTAGGAACCATAAGATTCAGATATAAGGGGCGATATATAAGGAACCATAAGATTCAAATATATGGAGATATATAAAGGGAAAATGAAAGCCAAAAAGGATTGAAGAAAAAGGAAAGAAAGCACTGAAAAATCAAGCATTTTAGATAAACTTATCCACATACCAGCAGTAACAGAACCCCCAGGTGAATTAATAAACAATTTGATGTCTTTTGTTGAGTCTTCAGCATCCAGAAATAATAGCTGACTGATGATAAAATCTGCTGTCACGTCATCCACCTGCCAAATACCAGTAAGAAGAAGTAAAATTTAACCAGCCTTCCGTCACTCTTAAGCATGTTTAAAAACCAGGAATGTTGGAAATCCATCATATATTTGCTAGCATCTCTATCACTTGCACATATAATAGCATCCAGATTAACACCACATTCCTCATAAATGAAACCCGAAAGCCATAAATTTCATAATAAGGAACTAATAAGACAATAATCATCAAAACATGTCAAAATGCCAATGGTTAAGCCAGAAGACCTGAACAAATACCTGCATATAAAGAGATAGAGAGTCCCGCCTCAAATTTCATTTTTTATATCTAAAAGAAGATGTCTAGCAGTAAAAATAAGCATCGACCACAATCAAAGATTTAATCAACAAAAACCATCCACTAAATAGAGAAAGACCCATCTAAACCTCTGTTCTAACATCTTTACCAAAACCAATATGCTGCAAACAAAAAATACCTAAGAGAAAGACCCATCTAAAACCTCTGTTCCAACATCATTACCAAAATTAATATGCTGCAAACAAACAATAGTATGAAAATAGCCTAACACGTTCAACAATTACTCCCCAAAAACCACATCATAATACAAAGGTTCGATGAAACACTAAGTAGCAAAATCAGAAACCTCACTTCCTATATCTCTAACAAAAGAAATACAACGCTTCTAAGCAATATTCAAGCAAAACCTAACAACTAATCCCGCAAAAAAGAAGAACTATACACACTGGCTACAAAATCCTACCATTAATTCCAACCTCCCCAACTTGTGACACAAAGAAAAATATATTAGCCTACAAGTAAAAGCCCACCTCAAGATACTAAATATCAATATTTTGACAAACCATCATGAGAAAAATAACCTCTACAAACCTTACAAAACAACAGTAGCAAAAACCCACCTAAAAAAGCCTTCAATTAATCCTAAATCAAAATCCACCAACAAACTTCACTTAGAAACAAGTTCTAAACAAATTTTAACATCAATTAAAAAAAAAAAAAAACAACCATACTTGAGAGCCCAAAAAAATGATTCTTTGACGGAGAAGCATGTTGGTAGTATCCAACTCCTCAAATTTTGGCAAAGTAGGAGCTGAATTAGCAAAAGATGAGAACTTTGTAACATCCCAGTTGGTAGCCAGAGTCTGTCTTGCTGTTTTAGCATCAAATGATCTCTTCGAAGCCTTAACACAAATGGGTTTTCTTCTTTTACTGCTAACACTAACTGTAGTGCTATTGTCGCTGGAGATTGGTAAAAGAAACTGATTCTTGTTAATGAGACTGCTGTGATTAGAGAAACATAGAGGGCTGCTTGTTGATTGTGAGGCTGTAAGATATGCTAAACCTACCTCCATTTTTCCTTTCTATCTGGTTTGATTTGATGTTATGGTTCTGTTTTTAAAATAATCCGTTCTGTTTATGGATATTTTGTTTGAGGAAATTAGAGATAGTTCAGTGGCTAAATTGGATCTTTTTCTAACTTCATGGTCTGGAGTGTAAACAACAGTAGATTGTGCTGACAGGGTGTTACAGTAAATTTCTTTAAAAAACAAATGTCAGTTCAATATCTTATCTCAGTTATCAATAAAAACCGGCTGTTTCTAGCCATTATTCTATTTAAATAGAAAAACCGAACCGAACCGAAAATTCAAAAACTATTGAACCGTTTTTTTATTTTTTTTCAGTTTGGTTTACACCGTCAATAGATTTCTTTTGCTAATTTTTTTATTAAATTTTAAAATAATATAAATAAATCAAAAAAAAAATATGTGATGAATTGATGTTGTATTTAGTCTTTTTATATTATTTTAAAAACTAAAAATATAATAGGAAAAAAACCAAAAAACAATTTAGTTTTAAACCTAAAAACTCGAAAAACCAAACGAGTTGTGATGAAATAATGAATGTCCATAATCATTTCATATTTTTACTACTCATATGATTTAATTCACCATTCAATATAAGAAATTGAAATGTGATTCAATTTATTCAATTATTTATGCATCTTTTAATGATTCATAGTCCCTTTTAATTCTCTTCTTAATCTTGAAGCTTATAAATAGGCTTGATTATTTATTAGTTTGTGTATAAGTATTTTGTAAAGATTGAGATAATAACTTGAAATTCTTATCACTTGTATTCATTTTATGTTATAATGAATTCTTTTTTTTCTATCATTTTTCTCTTAAATTATATTATTGTTATTATTTTTTTAGAACACGTTATCGGCACGAAGCTCTAACCAATTGAAATAATAGATCGTGAAGTATGTATCTACCAAAAAAAACTTAATAATTTGTTTCAACCATTGATTTTTTTTTATACAAGTGTTCTACCAAAAGATCTAAATTATTTAGATCATTAAGAGATGTATCTAATTTATCATGTACTTTGAATCTAATGGTATATAGAATATACATTTGAAAAACTTAAATAATTTAATATATAGAATCTAATGATTTAATATATATTGTTTGAAAGGTTTAAATTTTATTATTTTTATTTTTATTTCCTAATATTATTATTATACTTTGTATTATAGAATTTTTATGATTTCAAACCTCACAAAACTTAATTTTGTGACCCTTGACATTTTGAGAAAGAATTATTGATCATGAGTACTTGATGCTCGAGTAAATATTCTCTACTTTTCATATGTCAAATATGCTCCTATAGTAGCATATCAAGAAAAAGAGTTTAAGAAATATTTTAAATCGATTTCATACTTGCCCGTGGCTAAATAAAATGACAAGCTATTGATGAAAAAGAATAAATCTCGTCCAACTAGATTTACTCCATTCCCCGAACCGAATGTGACAACTTATAATAATTTTAGACGTGAACGAAGATGTGGCCATAGCTATGGACATGGTCGGAATAATTATCATTATAATCGTGATAACCATAATAATACATCTCAACAAAAGAAGTAGATAATTATGAAAAAATATAATAATAATAAAAAATATATCAAGTCAATATTCTGAAAATGAATGTTATAGATATGACATAAATGAACATTGGTTACATACTTACCATATACTAAAGCACCTTATTGAGCCTTATCAAGCCTCGTTGAAAAAAAAAAGAGTAAAATATAGTCAATTTTATATATCAAAATAGAGGTAATTGAAATTAATAACTTGTTAACTTTTCTATTTATAAATATGATGTTTTATATTTTCTTATAATTATAATTTCAATGGTCATAGCCATAGATGTGGTTGGAATAATTATCATTATAGTCGTGATGACCATAATAATATATCTCACCACAAGGAAGTGGATAACTATGAAAAAAAAATAATAATAATAAAAATAGATTAAGTTAGTATTCTGAAAATGAATGTTATAGATGTGGCATAAATGAACATTGGTCGCGTACTTACCGTATACCAAAACACCTCATTGAGCCTTATCAAGTCTTGTTGAAAAAGAAAAGAGTAAAATATAGTCAATTTTATATATCGAAATGGAGGTAATTGAAATTAATAACTTGTTAACTTTTTTATTTTATAAATAAGATGTTTTATATTTTCTTATAATTTCTATTACATTGAAATAATTATAAATTTATTTTAGTATATATTTATTTATTTTGTGTTAATATTATATCTAATAATATCAATTTGATAAAAAGCTCTAGAAGAGCGATTATATTATTACTTGAAAAGATAAATTTTTTATGTTCTATAAGAGTGAATATATTATTACTTGAAAAGATAACTTTTAAAGGCTTTAGAAGAGCGAATATATTATGACTTGAAATAACATAATTTAAAAGCTCCAAAAGAGTAAATATGTTATTATTTGAAAGGATAAAATTTATTATAAATGATGTGTTATTCTCTCTAAAGACTCATAGAAATTTATTGAGTTTCAAAGATATTCATCTAAATTAATATCATATCAAGACATCAAATATGAAAAATATTTAATACTTATATATTATAATTGTTATATGAGGTAGAAAATATGTATTGAAAAAATTTACCCACTTTCTCTTTTGGTCTTTATTACAAACATTAGAATGATTGAAACAAATGTTGTAGTAAATCAAAAGTTTACTAATTCAAATACTTTTATTATGTTGCATGACCATTATGTTATCTTAGGTCTTTCATGATGCAAAAAAATTATTAAAAATTCATATGGACATCTATCGAAGAAGCGAGAAGATTCTTAAATTTAATGAATTTTCATGTTCTACATATTCTCAAGGCAAATTGATTATTAAGCCATTACCATGTAAAATTGAGATTGAATCTATAGTATTTTTAGAATGTATTCAAGGTGATATATGTAGATAAATTCATCCATTATGTGAAACATTTAAACATTTTATGATTTTAATAAATACATTCACAAAATGATCGCATGTATATTATCTACTCGAAACCCGATGTTTTCGAGATTGTCGATCTAAATAATTCAATTGCAAGCATAATTTCTAAATTATGTCATTAAAATAATTCACCTTGATAATATTGGTGAATTTATCTTCTAAGCATTAAATGATTATTGATTGACTATTAGAATAAAGGTTGAACATCATGTTGCTCATGCTTATACTCGGAAAGATTTAGCAAAATCATTCATCAAAGACTCTAATTGATAGATAAACCATTACTTAAAAATAAAACTTCTTGTTCATGTTTAGGGACATGCAATCTTACATGCAACAACACTTATTCGTATCAGCCCATAGGTTATCGAAATTCTCCCCCTTTACAAAATAGTCACATGTATATTATCTACTTGAAACCTAATGTTTTCAAGATTGCCAACCCAAATAATTCAATTGTAAGCATAATTTCTAATTATGTCATTAAAATAATTCACCTTGATAATGCTTGGTAAATTTATCTTATAATTATTAAATGATTATTGATTGACTATTAGAATAAAGATTGAACATCATGTTGTTCATGCTTATACTCGAAAGGTTTAGCAAAATCATTCATCAAAAGACTTTGATTGATAGATAAACCATTACTTAAAAATAAAACTTCATGTTCATATTTGGAAACATGCAATCTTATATACAACAACACTTATTCGCCTTAGACCCATAAGTTATCGAAATTCTCCTCCCTTCGATTGATTTATGGTCATAAGTTAAATATTTTTTATTTAAGAATTTTTTATATTGTAGTATATATCTATAGTGCTCCTCCATAACGAACTAAAATAAGCACTTAAAGGAGATTGTGAGTATATATTGGATTTGAATCCTTTTCGATAATTCAATATCTTGAACCATAAACAAGAGATATTTTTAGAGCTCGATTTATCGATTGTCATTTTGATGAAATAGTTTTTTCAATATTAAAGAAAGAGAATAAGCAAAATAAGCAATTGAAAATGTTAAAAAAAATATTCCATGGAGTACTATATCTTATATTATCTTGATCCTCGTACAAAATAATATGAACTAGAAGTTTAAAAGATAATTTATTTACAAGGTATTGCAAACTAACTATTGAGAATGCTCCTATTAGATTTGATGTCCTAGAGGAACAATCTATTAAATTTATAGCACATGAATCTAAAACACACTTAAAACGTGAAGGACGGATCGATTCTAAAAGCAAAAATCCTTAAAAAAAGGGCAAATAATTAAAATATAAATATAAAAGATGCAAATATTCATAAAATGATCCAAGATATTTCTAATAATAGGCTTCTAGAAGAAGTCCAAATGCTTGAGAAAAATCAAGAGACTTTGATAAATTACATCAATACAAGGAAAACATAAGATCAAAAAAAATATTTATTGATTAGATTTTTACATATAATGTTACGATTGATATTTTGAATGAAAATAAGAATTCTAAACCTAAATTTATTGAAGAATGTTGACAAAGAGATGATTGACGTAAATGAAAAAAACAATCTAGGTGGAATTATATTCTCTTACAAGTGAGTAATATTTAAACTCATACTCAAAACACTCGAAAATGTTAAACTTGTGGAATACAAATGAGTATTTTTGTGAAAATGAAATAAGAAAAATGAGATTATGAGATACAAAACAAGACTTGTAACACAAGACTTTTCGCAAGAACTCGGCATTGACTATAATGAGATATATTCTCTTGTAATGGATGTAATTATATTTCATTATCTTGTTAGCTTGGAAAAATATATGAAAAAATTTATATGCATACATTTAATGAATATGATCATAGCTTATTTGTTCAATTAAAAATGATATCTATATGAAAGTTGTAGAAAAACTTAAGATGTCCGAAGCATGTAATACATATTATTGAGAAATGAATTCAATTACATTATAGAGATCTTTATCGAATTATTTTAATATTTATTTTATTATTTTATTTTTTAGAAATTTAATTTATATTATGTTTTTATATTTATTTTTTATTTTTCAATATCTACTTTTTATTATTGACTCGTGTGCATATGGTATAATTGCTTTAATCAATATTTATTAAAAGAAGGTTGTAAAAATAACTATATTTATTCATGTATTTTTATAAAAAAAATTCAAAAAAGAGTTTGTGATAATTGTTGCATATGTTGATGATTTAAATATTATTAGAACTTTTGATGAGATTCAAAATGCCATAAGTTATTTAAAAAGAAAATTGGATTTGAATACCTTGGGAAACAAAATTTTATCTCGACCTCGCAATTCGAGCACTTAGAGAATGATATTTTTATTCGTTAGTCAATTTATATATATAAAAAAATTTATAATTATTCTATATAAAGATCATCTATTGACTAACCTAATGGTAGTTCGTTCACTTGATATTAAAAAAAAAGACCCTTTTCTACCTCGAGAAGATAACAAAAAACTACTTCGTCCTAAAGTACCATATCTTGATGCCACTTGTGTATTGATATATCTTACAAATAATACTTGACCTAATATAGTCTTTTCTATAAATTTATTAGCAAGTCATACTTCTACTCCAATACAAAGATATTAGAATGGAATTAAACATTTTCTATATTATCTCTAATGAAAAATTGATATGATATTTATTTTACTTAAATAAATCAAAATCGAGTTTAATTGATTAAGCATATGCATGTTATTTATCTTATTTATATAGAACTCGATCACAAATGAGTTATGTATTTATACTTAATGATACAACTTATCATGATATTCTATGAAGCAAACTATAGTTATTAGATATTCAAACATGCAAAAATACCAATTCACGAGGTAATATGAAAATGTGTTTGGCTAAGATCAATGATCCATCATATCCGAGATAGATGTAGTTTATTAATCAATAAAGAAGTTCCAACAATATTATATAAAGATAATGCTACTTGCATAATTTAATTAAATGAAGAATACATCAAAGTGATAATCCTACAAACTTATTTACTAAGGCATTACCTATCATAAATTTTGAGAAAATGATATGTAAGACTGAGATGCGTTGTCTTAAAGATCTTAAATAATATTTTCAATAGGAGAAACCCAATGTAGAGATTAATGTGTACAAAGAATATTATACTTTTTTTTCTTCATTAGGATTTTTTCCCTCTAGATTTTTTCCTAGTATAATTTTAATGAGACATGTTCCTTGTACGATGGACATTCAAGAAGGAGTATTATGAAATAATGAATGTCCATGACCATTTCATATTTTCACTACTCATGTGATTCAATTCACCATTCAATATGAGAAATTTAAAGGATGATGCAATTTATTCAATTATTTATGTATCTTTTAACGAGTTCATAGTCCCTTCTAATTCTCTTCCTAATCTTAAAACCTATAAACGAGCTTGATTGTTTATTAGTTTGTATATAAGTATTTTGTAGAGATTAAGAAAATAAATTAAAGTTCTTATCACTTGTATTCATTTTATTTTAGAGTGAATTTATTTTTCCTATTACCCTTCATCTTTCTCTTCAATTCTACTATTGTTATTATTTTTTATAATAACAGTAATTTTGTTAGGACTCGTTTTTGTTTTTATAGATTAAGTTAATCGAAAACCCAACAGTAATCGCTAAAAATCAAATTGTGACCCTTTTTTTTTTTTTTTTTCCTTTCTTACTAGAAGATTCAAAGGCCTTGGAGAATAGCTCTCAAGTCTCAACTAATCTCTAAATGCCTATCCTATCTCTTGCAAGCATTGATTCTGATACTCTCACTAAAAATTCGAAGTTTTTTTTAATCAAGTTTTAATTGATAAAGCTAGCCACGAAGAATTCTTAAACCCTATCCTATCTTTTCTATTCAATAAAAGGCTCAACGGGCCTTAGAAAGAATAATTTTTGATCAATCTCTAAACATCTAATCTCATCTCGAACATGATTTGTTCTTGACATTCTTACTAAAAACTCTAAAATCTCAATTAGTGCAGTAATGGTAGAGAATTTGCTACTAAATTACAAGCAAAAAGCTCACAACTTTTTGAAATTGAAATTGAACATAGGCAAAATGCTTATTTGTTGATCTCCGTGATTGGTGAAATTTCACTTGATTCACCTTGATTGTTTTGGTTTGTCTATTAGCCCATTTCCATTGTATTTTTCTAGGCTTTATAGTAAGTCTGAGTCTCCTGTTTTGTTGATTTCTAATGAACAAAATCTTTCATTCATATAAAAAAAAATACTTCTTTCAGAAAAATCCTAAATTGAAATAACAAGTATGACCAAACATCTATTTACCTTCTCTAATGATAGGAAAAAAAAAACAAAATCAAACGTACCATCTCCCTAAACATAAGTGAATCGTGGAGCAAAATCATTTGGATAAATTATAGAACATTTTGGGGTATAGGATGAAAATGGACATATTCCATGACTTACAGAAGTTTCTCTGATTAATTTTTTTACTTCATTTTTTTTTTCTTAAAATGATCAAAAAAATATTTTTGTATCAATAATTTAAAGGGTTTTTTTTTCCGGAAAAATGCAGTTGACTTAAATAGAAACAAATAAAAGTAAGGAACTCAAATAAATATTTTTATAAAGAATAAGGACTAAATTTACAGTTTTCATCTTTATAAACGAAAAGGCGAAACCTTGATACGGGAGACTCGTCCCTTGTCGTCAGCTATGAGCTCCAGCAGTAGAGGAAAGGAAGGAAAGGAAAGAAAGGAAAAGCCAGAGAGACGGGGGCTGAGAGACGGAGAGACGACAAGAGTCTCAGCGAATGGAGAGGGACCCGGGAGCCAAAATGTCAAAAGACAAAGGGTTTCACCTCGTTTTTCTGCTGCTTCTCAACAAATCCAAAATCAAGAAAATAGTGAAAGTGAAGAAGAAGAAACTGCATTATTAGACAGCATTCGTTCTTTAGTGGCCAAAGGAAATAAGAGATCCAGTCCAGCACAGCAAAGTGAAGCTCCTATGAAGCCTACTAGAAGGAATAATGGGTCTATTTCAGTTACGTTGGACTCTGAAGTTCTTGCTTGTCCCTTCTGTTTTGAAACCTTCACCATGCCTGTCTTTCAGGTTTTTTTTTCCCTCTTCTTTTCGCGTTTTACGTTGTTGTTGTTGATGTTTTACTTGCCCCCTTTTTGGTGCTGGTGTTTTTGTTTTCTTTTTAAATTAGGAAATTAGGAATAGAGTTATATGTGAGATACTTGAAATTTCTTAACATTTAGCTGGGTTTTTTTCTGTTTTTGGCTTTAGCTTGAGAAGATATGTTCACGCGGATTGCTTTAAGTTGAGTGTTTTGGGCTATTAGTGATAGTTTTGCTTTTATTTTGTCTTGTCTGAAGAATGGCATTAGGGCAGGTAACTTGTGTAAAGTGAGTTTTGTTGAGAGAAATTTGTGCCGGCCCGAATAGTTTCTCAGCCATGGTTTCTGTAATGTAGGGGGTCGTAAAAGAAGGATATATGGTACGAAGATGTAGTTTCGTGATGTCTATTTCCTACTTTTCTTTTGTACTGAAGAAAAATGCCATTCTTGCTGCCTATGTAGGAATTTTTTATAGATGCTTTGGAAGCATACGGTCCCTTGTTTACATGAGAAATGTTTTGAGTGGTTAATTACCTGTAGTTATGGAACGGAGCTGGAGGTGAAGAAGTCAGTGAAGTTTCCTTGGCTTAGCACAATTCTTCCAATGAAGTATGAACTCAGATTGTTACTAGTCACTGTAATGTTCTTGGAAGGGAAGTTGGAGGTAGGTTCCCTTGGAAGGAGAGTATTTATGAAACTGTTGTCTCAGGAATTAATTGACATACTTTGAAAATGTAGAATATATGAAGGTTAGTTGAGAAAGACTTGAAAAACTGAAAAGAAATTGTTCATGTGAAATACAAATTGAATGATTCAAGTTGTGTTGCATTTAGGTGCTCAATGTTGACATACTTTCCTACCACTGGACTTGATTTTCCTCTGATGTGTAGCTAGATTTGGCAAAGGAAGATTTATTGTTTCATGAACTCACCATGTCTTGAGAAAACGTAAGGAGTGCTTGGGAACTGGTTTTGATTGTCAAGGAGCTGCTTTATTTGCATAGTCTTGTGAGATTAGTTAGTTGCATGAAGTCAGAGTTCTTATTTATTATTATTAAAAAAAAAAGAAAAAAAGAAAAACCACAGAGAAGAAAATGGTTAAACCCATGCTTATTTCCTCCCTAACTCAAGATCATATAGTTTTAGATTGAATGGACATAACTGGGTGCTGGAGAATGATGATTATTGTTATTATTATTTTTGGTTGCATTTTATCTTTCTTTTATGTTATGTAGGCATAAATTAACCATTCACTACAATAGAGAAAGATGTAGTTAAGTTCTGATTATGTAAAAAGTTTTAAACGACATGGGATGGAGGATTAGTGAGGTCAGTTGAAGTATTGGTCATGTCTTAGCACCATTTTTGAGCCTCTGTTTACATATTAACACAAAATCTCTAGTAAATATAATCTTTCACATTATCTAGTCTCATAATGTCATGTGTTTGCACAACTTATTCCAGGTTCCTTTTGGTGCTTCAGTTTTAGTTTCTTAAATCCTTCCAATTGCTTACTTTCTTGCATAATATATCAGTATCATAAGTTTTTGCTTGCTTACTGGAACTTCAGTGCGAGAATGGACATACAGCTTGCTCTTCATGCTGCAGTAAACTTGCACATAAATGTCCTTCCTGCTTGTTGCCTATTGGCCATATTCGTTGCCGGGCCATTGAGAAGGTTCTTGAATCAGCCAAGATATCATGCCAAAATATGAAGTATGGTTGCAAAGAAACTGTCTATTACAGCAAGAAGGGTGACCATGAGAAGACCTGCATCTATGCACCGTGCTCCTGCCCAGTATCAGGCTGCAGCTTCATCAGCTCATCGGAGCAGTTATACTCGCATTTAAGCAGCAGCCATGTCGGTGATATGAAACAGTTTGAGTATAATTGCTCAATCCCTGTTTCCTTTATTGCTAGTGAGAAATTTGTTGTTCTTCAAGAAGAGAAAGAAGGTGTTGTATTCATCCTGAACAATGCTTTGCAACTGATGGGGAATGTGATCATGGTTAGTTGCATAGGGCCCTCATCCAAGGGAGGATACTCCTATGAACTTTCAGCAAAAAGTGAGGGAAACAGTCTCATCTTCCGATCTTTTACGCCGTGCATTCAGAGCAGAGTTGATAACCCTCCTTCAGGGAGGTTCCTCCTAGTTCCAGGTGGGTTTTTTGGTGCTGGGGAGCAGATTACCTTGGATCTTTGCATATGGCGTAAAGATGCATACTCTTCATGTGTCCATTGCAGCAACGTTTGATAATTAGAGCATTTTAGTAACTCAGCAAATGCTAGACAGGAAAGATTATTATATTCTCCAGCATTTTGTAGTGCCCATGGCATTGGAAAACCTTGGTGCTTTGGTTGGTAAAAATTTTGCTAGCCGTTTTTTGGCTATAAGCTTGGACTTGGCATCAGACACAGGGGACCGTGGACTCATACAGTCTGAATTTCTATGGTTGTAGACTCTCAGTGCCAGCCATGCATCTACTGCTGAAACTTGCTAAATTGGCTCAAATGGTATTGCATACCTCCATGGGGTACAAAGCTGAACCCGCATAGGTTTTTGGTTTTGTTCTCTTTTTTGACTTGTTTTTTTTCTTTGCTGGGAATGTTCCATCCAACCTTTGTATGCATAATTTAGTAATGAGAATCACTTTGGAATTTGGATGCTATGCATGATCACAAGAAGCAAGCAGTATATTCATTTCCTTTTGATCAGATCAAGGAGAGTGAAAGCCAAAAACTATCTTGGTTCCAGCTGCTAGTCTTTTCTTATTTAGCTAGAACAATGACATTTCACACAGTTCAAATCCCTGTCTCCTTTAGTATTTGAACAGCGCACAATAAGGAATTATGATTTTTCCTGGAGGGATTGGCTAATGTTAAAGCAAGTTTGAAAGTGGTATGGCTAGTAATGGAATTAGATGTCTAGATGAAAAAAAAAGGTAAAAAAAGAAATACTCGGAACATGCTAAAAATTAAAGATGAGTTATTTTGAAAAAGAATAAAAAAAGAAAAAGAGTGGATGAACATGGACCATTTGATTAACTTAAGGATAAATCAATGGCTGGAATAGCACTTTCGCATGTGCGAAAATGCTTTTCCTATCTTTCCTCATTTTGGAAGCAGATTGATCACTAGTTTGCTCGGTGGATTATATTGCAAACATTTGAACATGGGAACAAACTATCAAAGATATATTATATTCCTTAAATTTAGTTCTTGTTTTTGTACGGGAAATCTCAATGTGTTCTTTATTTGGAGTTGGCTGTCAGAGCATAAATATTCTTTCTGAGTCCCAAAATGCCATTATTGTTATATATATTCACATGATCAGATGCCAGATGCCTTAAAATTATCTTCATAGGAAACTAGAAATGGTATTATGTGAGGAGAAAATGAAAACTATTAATGATTGAAATTCTAAAAGATTAATGTTCTAGAAAATTATATAAATTTTAATGATTTTATCTCATTCTTTAAAAATTGTATAAAAAGATCATCAACTAAACATACGATAATAATACTAGCACCGATCTGATTTTTCGATCAAAATTTCGGATAACACCGACATGACAGGGGACGAAACATGAAATATAGACTTTAGCATGCCATGTAGGATTCATGTAAATATGACATGTGAACTTTAACAAGCCATGTAGGATCCACATAATTGATTTTTCATGTCACTACTGACATGGATCCTATGTGGCTTTCTAAAGTCCACATGTCATACTTACGTGGACTACTATGTCATCGTTGACTGGAATTTTGATCGGAAAACCTGATATTGTTATCAAATACTTAGTTGATGACATTTCTATATAATTTTTAAAGAATGAACTAAAATCATTAAAACTTTTATAATTCATAATTTTTTATATCATTAAGCTTATTCTAAACTATCACAGAAGTTGGACCTCCGAGAAGAGATGGTCATTGAATTTCTTTTACAGTCGCCAAGCAAGCAAGGCTTCCCCTCTTGCAAATGTGTGTGCAAATCCACCGACCCTGGATTCATCCCAGCTCACCTTCATCACTCATCGATCAAGAAACCTTCCTCTGTTCTAAAAGAATGATATGCCACCTCCATGCAAATCCTTGTGACTAGTTTTTTCTTATTTAGCTAAAAGAATGATATGTCATCTCCATGCAAATCCTTGTGTTGTCTAGTATTTGAACAACACAGGATCATGAAGAGATTGGCTTAGGTATGCAAGGTTGTAATTTCAAAAGAGACTGTAAACCATATCTTCTTTTTTATGACCTTGCATAAAAAAATTTAAATACAAAACAGTATGGTATACAAACTTGTAACCTTGTAGGCGTTATTGTAGAAGTAAGATTAAATACAGCAAATGAAAAAATTTCCACATTCATTTTTGCGAACTTTTCTATTTAAATTTGCAATATCTGGTTGAAATACTTGAATTATAACTTGAAATCGGTCTAAAATCTTGTAAGGATTCTTGTTTTTTGAATTGTCGATTTTTAATTTTTGAGGTACTAATTATGGTCCAAATCTGAAGAAAAACTGCAAGAAAAATATATTTCTTAACATGCGAGTTTTGAAACGGATTTATATATCACATTAAGAGTGTCCAATAAATATATAACAATTAACATATAACGAAAGTTTACTTAAAAATTAAAGATATAGAATTCATGTTTAAAATATATACTCTTAATATATACTGTTTTTGTCCTAAAGTGTTCGTACTTTTGATTTTTTTACCTAATTTAAAAAACACAATAATTGTAATGACACATCAATCTTTTTAATTTATCCACACTTTCTTAAAACATGTTAGGCGCTAAATCAAGATTTTCGTCTCTCCTAAATTTAAGTTAAACTTTTTTTAGAAAGATTTAAAAATCATTAAGAAATCCTAAAATTTTATACCTTAAGCCAAAAAAATTAGTCTCAAAATCAAGGCACAAAATTAAGATTTTTGTCCCTCCCAAATTTAAGTTGATTTTTTTTTTTTTTTTAAGAAAAATCTAGAGATCATTAAGTCTTCCGAAATTTCTCATGAAATTTTAAGTCAGAAAATTAATCTTAAAACCAAGGCGCAAAATTAAGATTTTTGTCCCTTTAAAATTTAAGTTTGGATTTTTTTTAGAAAGATCTAGAAATCATCAAACCTTCCTAAATTTCTCATTAAATTTTAAGCCAAAAAAATTAGTTTCAAAATCAAGGCGCAAATTCAAGACTTTCATCGCTCTCAAATTGAAGTTGAATTTTTTTTAGAAAAATTTAGAAATTATTAAGGAATTCTAAATTCCCATAAAAATTTAAGCAAAACAATTACTTGCAAAATTAAAGCTTAAAAAAAAAAACATGTATAAAAGAAAAGTGTAAAGAATATTAATTTTTTAGGTTAGTAAAAACAAGAAATGAAAGAAAGAATTGACTATGGGTATTTTAAAAAATATAGTATTTAAAATTTTGACCAAATAAGAGCATTTTGTGACATATATAAATAGAAAGAGAAACAATTTTTTTTTTATAGAGAAATTGAGAAAATAATTTTACAAATGGAAGGATAGTTGGCACATTGGAACGACAGTTGGCACATTACAAAAGTTTCGATAATTGATTTATTAGCCATCTAGTAAAACTTCCATTACGACATAAACGCTGATAAAGGGACAGAAATAGACAAGAAACAAGAAAGAAAGAAAAAGAAAAAAAATCAGCTAACAACTTTAAGTAAAGGAAAATACTTGATTAATTAGGAAAAAAAAACAAACAAACATAACATCTATTAGTAAGAATAGTAAATCTAGAATCATTATTGACAAAAAGGATAAAATGAAATAAAAAGGAAGAAAAATACTATGTCGATGATGACGGTAAAAAAACAAAAAAAAAAAAATCAAGAAACTCTCAAAACTTCAGAGAAAAAAAAGGGGGGGGGGGGGGGGGGAAGAGACATGAAGTTTGGCAATTTAATATATAAGTTCAGATGTAGATAATTCACCGAAAATCTAATAATAATAATAATAATAATAAAAATACTTAGTTTCCACCTATGAAAATGTTCCTCAAACTCTCAGCTGGTTTTATGAATATTATATCCACATCACACTATTTTTTTTTATCTGAAAAGACTATATCGAATCTATATTGAGATAAAAACTTAAGATTTTTTCTTAAAATAACTATGATAATAGGTGGAAACGTAGCTTAACATAAAATCAACCATAGAAATTTTATGAGTAAATGATAAATTAGTTCCTTTAGTTTCAAAAAATGAATTAATTAATCTTCTTTGTTTCAAAAGCTAATTATTAAATTCTTATATTTTAATTTTTTTCAAGAAATAGAAAAAGAAAAAATAAGTGAAAAATATGGAATGATTGATGAAAAAATATGTCTTTCTTTTTAAATAAAATAATATTAAATTAAAAGTAGCCAATACTAATTATAAAATGAACTAATTTATCATTTATTTTGAAAATTATTTATGAATTGTACTTTTATGTATGATAGTGAGAGTACATTGTCTAGTCTAGTCGAGAAATTTTATAATATTCAAGGAGTAACTAGTGACATAGACAATAATTACTCCATGGGTCTACTTTAAGAAGAAAGACACATAAAAAAGAGTAACTACTGTACATGTATATGTACCCTTTAACAACGAGGGCGTGTTTTTTGTACTCTAGTTCCTTGGCGCTTTTCGCATCGGAGTTTGTTTTTGAGTTGTGTCGGGTGCGGATGCATCCCTCCACAACCCCGAGGACGCGAGGGGCAAGAGAGCCCCTTGCGGCCCCAGCATGTTCGGCCACAAGTTTGTAGGTCGTTCTACTAGGCAAGTTTCGACAATGATCCTTTCGTAGGTTCACCTATAGAAACCTTATTATGAATTCTTCTTCCTCTAAATGATAAGGTTCGGTGGACTTCTAGTGATGTTGTCGGTGGTGAGCTGCCTACGTCGTCGCGATCCAAACACTTCACCAAACCATTCAATTGGTAGGAGCGACGAGCGGTGTGTATAAAAGACAAGGATGTAGTCAACATGAGCTGATGACTCGCGTTTACTAAGACTTCCTCATTGGAGACCAACAATAAAAGAAAAAAAGGAATCACATCTAAATCCACAAAATAGGAGAGAGAAAATGAAAAAAAATTAAGTAAATATGAAAATCTTTTTATCACTTTTGGTAGATGTGATTTTTTTTTGTATGTATCTCTCTCTCTCTTTAAAGTGGACCAATTGAGTAACTATTGTACATGGATCCACTCCATAAAGAGAGATAGACATAAAAAATGAGAGAGAATTACATGCGGATTCACAAAAAATGATATGAAGATTTTCATGTGAGCTTGATTTTTTTTCCAATTTTCTTTCTTCTCGCTTTTTTCTTCTTTTTTTTTTTTTTATTTCTCTCTCTATAAGGTGGGTGCATGGAATAATTATTGTACATGCCACTAGTTACTCCTTGAGTATTGTAAAATTTTTGATGTCTAGTGTATTGAATAATTCCTCATCTATTGCTTTTTTATTATATCCAAAGTTTTATCAAACATGAATCTATTAATGAATATAAAAAAGTAATCTATTTACGAATTGTACTTTTATGTATGATGGTGAGAGTACATTGTCTAGTCTAGTAAAAAAATTTTATAATACTAAAGGAGTAACTAGTGACATGTATACCGATTATTCAATCCAAGAAATTTTATAATACACAAGGAGTAACTATTATACATGTACGAGTAGTTACTCCATGAGTTCACTTTAAGGAGAGAGATAGAAAAATAAAAAAAGAGTAACTACCGTACATGTATATGCATCCATTAACGACGGGCCGTGCTCTTCGTACTCTAGTTCCTTGGTGCAAAAGGGTTTGTTTTCGAGCTGTGTCGGGTGCATATGCATCCCTCTCGCTAACTTAAGGGACGTGGGGGGCAAGAGAGCCCCCTGCGGCCCTAGCATGTTCGACCACAAGTTCGCGAGTCGTTCTACTAGACGGGTTTTGACAATGATCCTTTTGTAGATTCACCTACGAAAACCATGTTACGACTTCTCCTTCTTCTAAATGATAAGATTTAGTGGACTTCTCATGACATTCGTCGGTGGTGAACCACCCACATCATCACGATCCGAACACTTTATCGAACCATTCAATTAGTAGGAGCGACGGACGGTGTATACAAAAGGTAAGGACGTAGTCAACGCGAGTTGATGACTCATGTTTACTAGGACTTTCTTGTTAAAGATCAACAATAATTAAAAAAAAAAATCACATCCGAATCCACCAAATAAGAGAGAGAAAATTTAAAAAAAATTAAGCAAACGTGGAAATTTTCTTATCACTTTTAATAGGTTCGGATGTGATTCTTTTTTTTATGTGTCTATCTCTCTCCTCAAAGTGGACCCATGTAGTAGATATTGTACATGGATCCACTCCATAGAGTGAGATAGACACAAAAAGAGAGAGAATTACATGCGGACTCATCAAAAGCACATACGAACTTACCAAAAGCAATAAAAAGATTTCCATATTGGCTCAATTTTTTTTAATTTTCTTTCTTTTGTTTTTTTCTTTCTTTTTTGTGTGTATCTCTCTCTATGAAGTGGGAGCATGTAATAATTATTGTACTTGTCACTAGTTACTCCTTGAATATTGTAAAATTTTTTATGTCTAATGTATTCTTTGAATATTGTAAAATTTTTGATGTCTAGTATATTGAATAATTCCTCATCTATTGTTTTTTTTTATTATATCCAAAGTTAATCTATTAATGAATATAAAAAAGTTTTATAAAACATGAATCTATTAATGAATATAAAAAAGTAATTGATAAAAAAAAAAACATTTTGGGTCTGGGCGGGAAGGAACATTTGAATCCCCGCCCTTTTTGTTTCCAATCCAATAAAATGAAATCCGAAAAGCCTCTGAACAGAAGTCTAAAAAGATCAAAATTTCTCTACTGAGTGAGAGAGAGAGAGATGACCAATTTCCCAGAAGAAAATGGAGATGGACCCAGCAATCCATCCTCGAAGAGACAGAGGGTTTCAACTTCTGGTTCTCCTCAAAACCAAGAAAATGAAAATCAACAAACCCATCATCAAGAAAATGGAAATCAAGAGAGCCAACAACAAGCAAATGAAAATCTAGAGACCCAACATCAAGGAAGCGAAAATCGGGAGACCCAACAACATCAAGCAGATGGAAATCAAGAAACCCAACAGCATCAAGGAGGTGAAAATCAAGAGACCCAGCAACATCAAGCAAATGAAAATCAAGAAACTTCTTCTGAAGAAGAGGATGAAAATCAAGAAACTTTTTCTGAAGAAGAGGATGACGAAGAGGACGACTTAGTCGTTAAATTAAGCAGTTGTATTGCTGATGGTTCCATGTCAATGATCCTGATGGACCTAGATTCTCTTGATTGCACAATCTGTTGCAATCCCTTGACTATACCTGTCTTTCAGGTTAATTTTCTTTACTTTATCTTTTCTTTGTTGTTGTTTGGTTTGTTTATGCTTATTGTTTATTGTTTCCTTTCCGGTTTTGAGGCTTTTGTTTATATTTTTGTTTTCCATTTTACGGGCTTGATTGCAGAGCATTAGCTATATGTGAAATTACTTGAGATTTTGAACATGATTATTTGAATTTTTTTTGTGTCTTGGCTCTTTGTTGTGAGTATTTCTATGAGAAGGTTTGAAGTTGGATTCTTGATGTTTGATTTTTGGGTAAAGTAATCATTTACTGAAATGAAGTAAATCTATTTAGGTCCCAACAAAATGCAAAGCTTAACAGGCTTGGATGGAAGGACATTTTGAAACCTAACAAACAATACTAATCACTTTATGTAGGGTCTGTTAGAACAATAGCTAGGTATGATTATGGTTTTTTCGATAGATAATAAGTAGTCATTACTCTGTTCATTAGAGGTTTAGGCTTCCTTGTCCTTCCAAATATGGGCTAGGTTGGTTTTATCCTTCATGTTTTCATTTCTTTTGATTAATAAATTACTAAAGTTCCGCCCCTGTTCCAAAAAAAAAAAGAAAAAAAGTAATCATTTTAATATTCCATAACATGTCTATTGTAATAATTTCATTTGCTAGCATGGCAAAGTAAGTTCCTTTTGGTACTTTGGATTTTGTTTTAATCCTTCCACTTGCATGATTCATTATCATATCTAGTCTCATTCTTTTCTTCTTGGTTGCTTACTGGGATTTCAGTGTGAGAATGGGCATACAGCTTGCTCTTCCTGCTGCAGCAAACTTGCGCATAAATGTCCTACCTGCTTGTTGCCCATTGGTGATAACCGTTGTCGGGCTATTGAGAAGGTGCTTGAATCAGTCAGGATACCATGCGCAAATATGCGGTATGGATGTGGAGAGACAATTACTTACAACAAGAAGTACGAACATGATAAGAGTTGCTTCTACATTCCATGCTCTTGCCCAATACAAGGTTGCGACTTTATCAGCTCTTCCAAGAAGTTAGACCCACATTTACGCTGTACACATGTAGGTGATGTGATACGCTTTGACTATGGTGAGGCATTCCCTTTGCCCTTGACTGTTGGTGAAGATTTCATTGTTCTCCAAGAATTCGAAGTTGGCGTTATATTTATTGTGCACCATCGAGAACTAATCATTGGGAATATGGTAACACTTAGTTGTTTAGGGCCGCCCTCGTCCACAGGAGAATACTTCTACGAACTTTCAACAAAATCCGAGGGAAAGAGTTTCAGATTTCAGTCTTATACCAAGAGTATTCAGAGCAGGCTCGATAAGCCTCCTTCAGTGGGCCTCCTTCTTCCCCCAAGTGAGTTTTTTGGTACTTCTAAGATGATTTACTTGGATCTCATGATACAGTGTAAGGGTGACTGCCCTTCAAACATCCAAAGCAGTACCAATGCTGTTTGAAGGTGTTTTTTTTTTCATTGACAATAGCATTTGCTCCAAACATTGGCTGAGTTGTTCACATTGTTTACATTTTGGCTTGATTTTATTGTTAAGCAGTGAGACTTAAATGTTTGGAGCACTTTATTTACATGGCAAACTTTCATGAGAGACGGGAAAGTCGTATTGCAATGTGTATTTTGGTAGTGCCTTTTGAAGGCTTGGTGATTCACAATTGATATTTTTGCTAATTACTTTCGGCCATAAGCTTGGTTAGAAATCTATGGCTATAAAAGTTTGGTCATTTGCCTACAGCCATCTCCTCAAACTCTCCAAATTGACGAAGTCATGAAACTGATATGCATGTTTTCTAGAGATCCAAAGCTTAATATACTTGTAATTTATTTATTCATCTATTTTGTGAGTAATGTGAGACGGGAAACTTACACTTGGTACTTGTAGCTAGAGGTGTTCACTGTTTAGTTTAAATTGAAAAATGAAACCGAATCGTTTTTAACTAAAAAATTAAAAAAAAAAAACCATTTTTTTTTTTTGGTTTTTAAAATTTTAGATTCAGTTTAAATTAAAGTCAAAATTATTATTATTAATATTATTCAATTTGAAATATTTTTTTTCTGATTTTTTACACAGTTTAAAATTAAAAAAAATCAATATCTTAATATTATTATAGGTATTTAATGGATTGAATGTGTTTTTGGTCTATTTACATTATATCAAAAAAATAAATGATTTTAAATTGAAAAAATTGAAATTGAAATTTTGGTTTTTTTAATCAAAATATGATGGATTGAAGATGTTTTTGATTTATTTACGTTATTTAAAAAATAATAAAATTATGATTTAAACTGAAAAAAACAAAACAAAAAATAAAAAATGAAATTACTATTTGGTTCGGATTTGATTTTTAATTTTGTAGATTCAATTAATCAAAAATCAAATTAAAATATTATAAAACTGAATAGAAAAACTGAATAAACACTCCTATTTATAGCTTAAAATCCCTCAACTCCTAGCAATAAATCTCTCTTTGCTTCACTGACGTATACTAATGTAAAACCTATTTTTTAAAACCTCAATGGATATGGACATGCAAATTGGACTTCAAACATGGTATATAGCTAGACTGGTAAAACTCGAAATGATTAAAATAATGTTATCCTTTTGAAATATTCATTCCGAATTAATTTTTGGTATAAATGATTAAAGTAATGTTATCCTTTTGAAATATTCATTCCGAATTATTTTTTTAATAATATCAATTATGGATTTGGGAGATTCAACCAATACAACATATCGAGAATTGATAATATTTAAAAAACTAGTAATTATTATTAATCGCTATTTTGGGACGAATGCAGTTGTAATGTAAAGGAATTCGAGTTTGAAACCTATAATTTGCTTGAAAAATATATAAGGAAATGTCAATTACATATTATCGTTTCAATTTTTTTTTTTAAGAGTTGCCTATTGATATTTTATTTTATTATTTTGCAATAGGAAGAGGACTGTTTCATTAGTGAAGGCTCCTTCACCTTCTAATTAGAAAAACGAATAATATTACAGATTAAGGAGAAACAAATAAAAGAGATGGCTCATATTTTTTTTTCGTTTTTTTTTTTTTCCTGATCGTGTTTTACTAATGCTTAGTACTCTTGTGAGAAAAACAAAAATACCGAACTTTAAATTACACTTTTTTTTTTAATAAAAATTCAAAACGTAAATTTTTAATGATAGTGCTTCGGGCATAGTAACCCTACTTTGTATTCATCAAGAAAAAGTCGGAAGCAGTGGATATTCAAACCTGAATCTTTCCGAATCCAAAGTCCCTTAGAAGTCTTAACAGAAACGACAAATGGTTTTATATATATATATATATATAGGGAAGTAGCAAGAAAGAGGAGACACTATTCTAAGGAAAAGAAGAATAGAGAGAAAAGATGGTGATAATCTCAGTGCGTAATGTTGAAGATGGGAAAGGACCATGCATTCGGGAACTAAAAAGACTGAGGAGGGGCAATGGAAATAACAACGTGGACTACCGCAGAAATGATGATGTTTGGAAGGAGGTGGAAGAGCTAGAAGAAGAATTGGTGGGAGAAGCAGAAAGTGAAGAAGGACTACTGGAGGAGGAGGAAGGACGTGAGGGTGATGGCGGAGACGAAGAGGAGGAGGAGGAAGGGTGTGATTGTAATGGTGGGGAAGAAGAAGAGGAAGAGGAGAAGGAGGAAGAAGAAGAAGGAGAAGAAGAAGAAAAAGAAGAGGATGTGGATGAAGAATATAAAGAAGAGGAGGGTGGTGGAATTGAAAAAGGAGAAAGTGATGGCGGAGAGTGAAGGGAATGGATCCATCTTCTTGACCCTAACCAAGCCAGTGCTTGATTGCATTATATGCCACCAGCCCTTAACAATCCCTGTATTTCAGGTTCGTTTTCTAGTTCCCTGTTATATTAACAGTTTGTTTTAATAAATTGTTGATTTTTTTTTTATTTCTTTTTAAATAGAGAACAATAGACTGGCGCATGGATATATATACGCGCACACACAAAATTTTGAACAACTATCGCAACTATAAATTTTCCTTGTTTATTGTCAGCTGTCACTAAATAATAATTTTGGTTTCTTGAAGACATACTTCTGACTGCAATCCTGAAATTCATCTCGTTGGAAGTGTGCTAGTCTTTAACTCAAATGGAATTATATTGATGATTTAGTGATTATAAAGGAAATCTCTTCTCTCACAAAATATTCTCTCAATAGATGGATGTTACAACACTCTCAATTTTTTCTCTGGATAGCTGTTGCTATCTAAGTTTCTACTCTCTTTTCTCTTGTGATCTCACTATTTCTCATATATGTTTTTTTTTTTTGACACGTTGCACCGTCATTGAGGATTAATCTAGACAACTTATACATGACTTTGACACCTTATATCTTGCTGGAATTACAGACTTTACAGCTCATGTATAACATAAATTCCACCGACTTTGACAACCCAATTCTTGCTGAAATTTCATCGACTTTTGACAGCTTATATAGCTGAAGTTTGCACCGCCTTTGACAGCAACTTGCACCACTTGTACAGCTCCTTTACGGCTAATATACATCCACTTAATCTGCACCTCCTCTATTTTACAACTCATGTCTAGGTAGCAAGTTAATAGTCTTAAGAATTTGATCGGGTTTGAATTCCAACACTCCCCCTCAAACCCGACTTTGCATGCCAAGCTTTCCTTTGAGTCCGTGGAATACTTCGGTCTTCAAAGGCTTTGTAAAAATATCTCGCAAGTTGATCTTTTATTCTGCAATGAACTAGCTCCACAACTTTGTTCTTTACTTGCTCTTGAATAAAATGATATTTTGTGTCTATATGTTTGCTTCGGCTATGTGACACTCTGGATTTTTCGCAAGTGATATAGCAGATTTATTGTCGTTGTATATTGTAGTTGGACCTTCTTGTGCATGATATAACTCACTCAAAGTATTCTTCAACCATATTGCTTGACACGTACATGTTGCTACGGCTATATACTCTACTTCACATGTCGAGAGAGCAATTATTTGTTACTTCTTTGATGACCATGAAAATGGTACCGATCCATGTGAAATGTATATGCGAGTGCTTTTTCGATCATCGAAGTCTCCACCGTAATCGCTATCCGAGTAAGTAATTAACTTTGAATCTTGAGAAGATATATAAAATAGACCATGATCCGTTGTACCTTTAATATATCTCAAAATTCTATTTGCTTCGCAATGAAATGATCTTGCTTTGGCTTCTCCATATATCTACAAACCAGTCCAATCGCATACAAATATCCGGGCATGTGAAAGTTAGGTACCTCGGACTTCGATCGGACTCTTAAATAGTGTCGAGTTTACGGACTCCCTATTTGAATCTATCCTCAACTTCATGCTTGCTTCTGTCGGTGTAGCTACCGGCTTGCAATTCTTCATTCCGAACTTGTTCAAAATTTGTTCGCATACTTTTTCCGTGACATAAATATTCCATCTTTCATTTGTTTTATCTCGATTCTAAGAAAGTATGACATTTCACCAATATCTCGTGATTTCAAATTCTTTAGTCATAGCTTTCTTAAAATCATTAAACATACATAGATTATTTCTCATGAAGATCATATCATCCACATATAGACACACGATCATGATATCACCATCTTGATTTTTCTTCGTGTATAAGGCATGTTCATATGGACTTTTTGCAAAACCATTCTTCCGGAAGTACTTATCTATTCCGGTGTTCCAAGCCCGTAGAGCTTGCTTCAACCCATACAAGGCTTTCTTCAATCGATAGACTTTATCTTCTTGTCCTTTTTTAATATATCCCGGTGGTTGCTTGATATAAACTTCTTCTTTTAAGTATCCATTAAAAAATGCCGACTTCACATCCATCCGATAAATCTTCCATTTATTTTGTGCTTGCGACTACTGTGAGAAGTCTAATGTTATCAATTCTTGCAACTCGGAGCAAACGGCTCCTTATAGTCAATTCCTTGTACCTGTTTATACCCTTTAGCAACTAATCTTACCTTGTATTTTTTGACTTTTCCTTCGGATTAGTCTTTGTTTTATACACCCACTTGACTCCTATTGCCTTATTTCCTCTTGGAAGGCTATTTAATTCCCATGTATCATTTCTTTTAATTGCATCAATTTCTTCATTCATGGCCTTCTTCCACTTCTCCTCTCTAGTAGCCTCTTCATATATTATTGGATCACACTCTACCGTTAAACAAAATAATGAGTAATCGAATGTTGTACTGCATAGGTTACGTGGAATCATAAATATCATTTAGACTTCGAAGGTTTTCGGGTGCTCCCCCGAATTGCTGCTACTACTATTGCTTCCCGATGACGTTGATGGTGTTAATTCGGGAGTCATTGAAGTTGGACTTTGTGGAGGAGTCTCGCTCATCACCTTATTCATTTTGTGTGTTGAAGTCATCATTATTGTCATCATTAAAAAATAGTCCTTTGACTTCTTTATCTTCTTTGTTCCATCTCCGATGTACTCGCTTCATCGAATTCAACATCTTGTGAGATGATCACCTTCTTGGTCAAAGGATTGTACAATCTATATGCCTTACTCCTTTTCTCATAGCCAATAAAGATGTACTTCTCTTCTTTATCATCTAACTTCTTTCTTTTTTGGTCGGGAACATGGGCATATGCGATGCACCCAAAAATCTTGAGATGTCCAACTGCGGGCTTGCTACTCGCTCCATGCTTCATTTGATGTTTTGAATTTGACACTTTTTATTGGATATCGATTAAGTAAATAAATAACATATAGAACGGCTTCGACCTAAAAATTTCTCGGTAAGTGCTTTCCTTTCACCATGCTCCTTGTCATATCAAGAATCGTGCGATTCTTTCTTTCTGCAATGCCATTTTGTTGTGGTGTATATGAGGCTATTAGTCGACGAATGATTCCGTTTTCTTTGCGAAACCTTCAAACAACTTTGAGGTGTACTTGCCTCCTCTATCGGATCTAAGTATCTTTAAATACCGTCCACTTTGTTTTTTCTGCCATTGCTTTAAACTCCTTAAATTTATCAAAGGCTTCTAATTTTTCTTTAAGAAGATACACCCAAATGTTTCTACTCGAAATCATCAATAAAAGTAAGATAATACCTGTTTCCACCAAGTGATGGTATATCAAATGGACTAGCTATATCCGAGTGAACAATCTCCAAAGGTCTTCTTGCTCTCCTTGATTTTCCAATTTCAAAACCTTGTCTATGTTGTTTCCCTTTAATGTAAGCTTCACATAATTGATCCGGTTGATTAATTTCCGGAATTCCACTCACCATCTTTGCTCTCTATAATAACTTCGAGCCGATAAATCCAAGATGACCAAACATTAGATGCCATAACCATGATTCATCTTTAATGACGGACTTCATGCACTTTAGCACTTCGTATGAATATCAAGTGTGAAAAGACGATTCTTTGTCATGTCAACATTGGCAATTAATTCTCCACTTCTATTGATGATGAGAGAGCAATCCTTCGAGTGTATATCATACCCCTTTTCTAGAAGTTGGCCGAGGTCGATGATATTGCTATTCAAAGCGGGTAAATAATAAACATCATGTATATACCTTTTTTCTCCATTTTTTAAGGTGATCATAAGCTTACCTTTGCCTTTAACTAGAATCTTTGATGAGTCTCCAAAAGTAACTTCTCCTTGAATAGTCTCATCCAAATCTATAAACAACTCATTTCGACCACATATGTGGTTGTCTGCACCGTGTCTAGATACCAAATATTTTTCTTACACTCTTCATTACCTCTATAAGTTAGGAAAATAGTTGAATCAACTTCTTTGTCTTCCGTTGCTGCAAAATGATTTGTTTCCTCCATCCTTGGAGCTAATCCGCATTCGTAACTAAGATGGCCATACTTGTTACAATTATAACATTGTAATTGTGATTTATCGCCTCGTTGTTGAAATCGCCTCTTCCTTGACTCCTAGATCCTCAACCACGTCCATATATTTGATAGTCTTCATTTACTTGGCCTCTTTCAAAAGAGTTTCTACCATTTCCTCATCCACCACGTCCACCTCTCGTAGCTACCTTTGTAGCCATCTCTATAGCTACCTCGATTTCCTCTCGCCTAGTCCATACTGCTCGCTAGCTTGATTATCATGAATATATAACTTGCTTTGCAAAGCTTGCTCTAAATTATCGGTATTTTCATTCGGTTCATTCTCTCGCTCATGAGCTTAAAGAGAACCCACAAGCTCGTCAATCGAAATTTGTGACAAATCTTTTGCTTCTTCAATAGCAGGTGACGACATAATCAAATTTCCTTGTCAACGAACGTAGGAGTTTTTCCATTACTTCGACATCATCAAGAGTTTCTCAATTTCTTTTCATATCGTTTGCTACCATTTTTATATGAGTGACGTAATCATTGATCTTCTCGAATTTTGGATTTTTAGTGTCTCAAATTCAGCTTCGAGTGATTGGAGCCGTACCTTTTTAGCTTTTTCGACTCCTTGAAGAGATTTCGTAGAATCTCCCATGCGTCCTTTGATGTCTTTGCATCCGATACTTTCTCAAAGGTTGATTCATCAACTCCTTGAAAAATGAAAAACAAGGCCTTCTTATCCTTTTTGCATGATTCTTTAAGTCGTCGTCTTTTGCACGTTTGTCAAAGATGCTTCGAGCAGTAGCATCTTCGGGCTCTGTATAGCCTTCTTCAACAATCTCCCATAGATCGTGTGAATCGAGCGGAACCTTCATTTGGATGCTCCATTTTTCATAATTCGAATTTGTTAATTTCGGGATTTGAGGCTGAATCATTTG